ATAGGGATGGTAGTAACTCAGTAGCAATAATACATGCTGTATAATTCCAAGATCTAAATACAAAGCATGACTATCTCTGCATGTACCAAGAAGCTTCATGGTGTTCCAACCAAATAAGGTAGTGATACTTTGATATTCAGTGTTGATCACAATTTGATTCTTACAGAGCTGGAAACACTTTTGAATATGTGTAACTTCAAAGCCCCAAGTTTACAATGTTTTGTTAAGTTTCTGATGCATACACCATATTAAAGAAGTTTTAGCAAAGTCTTATGTACTAGAACTGAAAAAAATTGCATTCAGACTAGAGGAACAAAAGATGTTTTAGCAAGAAATCTTGTCATATGGCATGGTCAATCCTAGAATTTATGAGAACCATCCAGCAAGTGATAGAAGATACCAAAACTAATCCTGTTAATGTGCATGTTTGTTTAAATTAGTCAAATGTTGCCAACAACTATAATCTGATGTTGATGATTGGGTGGTGCCTTAAACAGATAGATCTTGGAGGAAGTTTTGCTCTGGGAAGCTTTGCAGTGACCTACAGAAGGAGTCAATTTAATCAGCTTCACAAGGGTCTGCTTTAATTTCAGGGTCGAAACCTGATTGGTTTGCATGAGTGTTGGCTTTACCAAGCTTGGAAGCCTCTCAAATGAGGACACATTGTTTCTTGGATCATACACTTGCAAGAAGCAGTTGCCTTCAAACTTGAAAAGTTCCTTTTCTATTGTGGCAATTGCTATGTACTTCAACAGAAAGCTTCTGTAATTATCACCTCTTCTATATGTATTTTTTCTCAAAGTGATTGAAAGGAAATGCTGTGCCTCTTTGTAACTAGATACTTATTTGTATGTATAAAATACAGAAAGAAAGAAATCAGGATTATCTTTTTCTTATTGGAAAGCTGAAATATGATAATTTTTTTTTGATTTTTTTAATCTTTTTCTTTTATTATTCATATGTACATACAAGGCTTGGTTCATTTCTCCCTCCTGCCCCCACCCCCTCCCCTTACCACCCACTCCGCCCCTCCCTCTCCGCCCCCTCAATACCCAGCAGAAACTATTTTGCCCTTATTTCTAATTTTGTTGTAGCAATAACAGGAAGGGACAAGGGTTTTTGCTGGTTGAGATAAGGATAGCTATACAGGGCATTGACTCACATTGATTTCCTGTGCATGGGTGTTACCTTCTAGGTTAATTCTTTTTGATCTAACCTTTTCTCTAGTACCTGTTCCCCTTTTCCTATTGAAAGCTGAAATATGATAATTTTTTTTGCATTTGAGATATTTGGTTTACAAAATAAAAGAATGAACACTGCAAGTGAAATCAAATTTTTGGCCTGTGAGTGTTTACATGTGGTCATTTCCCCCCCTAGAGAGCTTACAGTGAAAAGAATAGATTCACATCACTTGTTTGAAACCAGGAGTCTACTATAATAGTGATATGATAAACCATGACCAAAAAGAATTTTGAGACAAGACCTCAAACTGAATTTCATTCCAGATGATGAAGCTTGAGGATTTTTCGTATGCTTGGTTAGCACTGTTAATGACAGAAAAGGAAGACTGTTCATTCAGGAAATATTTACTGACCCTGACTCCTAGGCAGACACTGTGAATACACTGATGCTGCAGGTGTAGTCAGAGGGACAGAATCTGTGTCATTCCATGTTTTGTGCATCAGACCAGCTGAGCCTGTGCCACATAAAAGAAACCTGTGACAGAGGAACTATTAGCCCATCTTTATATGAATTAGAACTTACTCCAGATTACTTCTAACATCTAAACCAGTGCTTCTCAAACTTTATAGGAGGTCAGAGTTACTTGGGATCCTTGTTCAGTCACAGATTGTTGGACACTCCCCAGAGTTTCTGACTCAATAGTATGAGACGAGTCCCCAAAACTTGCCTTAATATTAGATGTCCAGGTTATGCTGATGCTGCTGGTCCAGAAACCACTGCTCAAACCCAAGACTAAAATCTGATTAAATGCAAGCCATGATGGGTGTCAGTAGTAACCAATGATTCACATAGTCACCAAAAAATGTTATATCAGAAGCATCACTCTTTCAGCACATTTCATCAATATGTCAATTTTTGTTCACAATGTCGTTGTAAATTTTTAATTCTGTAGGCACAATTTATATGTTGTTATGTTCAAATAACTAACCTCACTAAGAGATTCAAAAATCCTTTTACGTGTGGGCGTGAACAAGAGGAATGCAAGCTACAGATTTAAATACCGAGGAGGAAGGCATCTAAGGTGTACTTGACTCTGATGAGCTCTGTGTTAGTGAGCTTTCTGTAATTATAACAGAATACCTGAGACATTCAGAAAATCCTAGCAGAAAGTATGTGATGGAGCAAAGCTGCTGGCCTCTCCTGGCAGCCAGGAAGAAGGGGGAGGGGTGTGGAGAGAGAGAGAAAAGGAGGTGGGGAAGTGGGGAAGGGGGAGGGGGAAATGGAGAAAGAAATGCAGCACCAAAGACCCACTACCCCTTTCATGAGCAAACCGTCCCATGGCTGGAAGATATGTAACTAGGCTCTACCTCTTAAAAGTTCCATCACCTCCAAATAGCACCTTGAGCAGAAATGTCTGAAGAGCCCTTTTGATGATTCTGATTAGGGTTGAGCTTCTATTTCTTGAGGTTATGGATAAAGTCAGAAAATGTATTTGAACTGTGATCCTTTGGGAAGGCAGCCACAATATATCACCATCTAAATATAGTGAGTTGAAAGTGCATTATTTTTAAAGCAGTCAGTTTATTATTGGGTGTCAAGCTACCAACTAGACAACACTGAAAATGGAGTTGGCAAGAGAAGCATGCAGTAGATTCCTGGGAGCCATACCAGCACACCACTAGTTACACCTTTATTGTTGATTGGTTGTTTAGTTGGTTTTCAGGTGAGTGAGCACCCCAATAAGAAGGGAGATAAGATGCCCAGGTTCTCTGTATCAGTCCTTTATGTAAGCACAAAAGAGTGCAGAGTTGGATCTTTTCTTGACCACCACATAATATATTAAATAGCTTCCCATTTTTCATCATTGCAGAGGTAACTCAGACTCAAAAGGAGCAATGCTCTAAACGGAGTTAAAACTGATCACTACAGGGAAAATAATAAGTGCACAGCATCTGCACTGTCTTTGCAATAATACCTCTGAGCTTTTGCCTGCATATGCAGCTCCCTGGCACAATGTCACACACTATCATGCAGACACTTGTCACCTTGCTGTGTCCTTTTTTGTTTGTGTGTTTCTCTGTCCCACTAGAACACAGACTCCTTGAGGGCAAGCTACATTTTTTTTTCATTATTTCCAAACATTAGGGAGTGTTTGGTTAACAACAGGCAATTACAGTAAGTTCTGTGGCTCCATAAGGGAGAACTCCAAGGGCCATCCAACTCCCCAGGGTCAACACTGGACTCTACTGCAACAGTTTCCAATTAATTTTCCTGGCTGCTTAATCCTGCTTCCCTTACTTATTTACAGAAGCTGCTCTTGAAAGCAGTCCACAACAAATCTCTTGCTTGCAGATCTCCATTTTAGAGACAATAATTTATGAGTTTTTCAATATTGCATAATGAAAACTTTGAAAATTTATTTGGCCCCTTTGCTGCTATAATGCACTTCAGAGCAGCATTAACTAATTTGCATTATTCAAAACAACAACTGTCTCACTAAGTCAATGGCCTTTGCTATTAGACTAGATGATCCATCAGATTCTTGGACTTCCTAACTGTATCTTTACCACTCTGCATTTAAATGACCTGACTCCACTGTGATTAATGTAGCAGAGCTTTAAGCCAGAGGATAAATGCTTTTGAGAGGGAATTCTACCACAATCATAAAGCTTTTTCCAAGATAATTCTGAATACTTGGTACAGGCTATTGACCATTTTGTCATACTTCCATTGAACATGTAGATATGTGGTTTTGGTCTGAAGCACCTAGACAAATGTGATACTTTCAAAGAAGAAATCATGTTTTGCTATTGAACTTACCCATTGCCTGAATTCCTTAGTATGTCCTGTGAGGTTTCTTAACACAAACCATTCCCTCATGTTCCATGTATCATGTGGCCAAACTGACATCTGCATCTGGAATAATTAAGCTGTAGCTGAGGGAGCAACCAATACCTTGAGTGAGGCAAGAAGCCTATTACTATAGAGGCTTGAATTGTAGAGATCTCCAAGAGCCCCGCAGAATTCCTTCACTGTTTTGCTTTGTTTTGTCTTATTTTGTTTCCTTTTGGTGCATGATTAAATTAAAATGTCCAAATGTATGTAACTCAGAAATTAGAATGATTACCTTCTGATTTCTCAGTATGCCCTAGAACAGCCATCATTATACTGGATTTGGCTGCCCTAGTTTTAGAATTAAGTTCCTAATTTAATTATATCCCAGTGGTCCTGAAATGGATTTACCTTGCCCTTTCTCTTCAGAGGATGCTGCTTTTAGTTATCAATAAAATGGGACAAGGAGACCTTTAAGATTTTTTCTGAATAAGGAAAAAGTAGGTTGGGCTTTTATAATCACATTGTGATCATCATGATTGCAAATCAGAGGAGTGTGCAGCTATGGAACCACAAGGGTTAAGTGCTCTCTCTCTCTCTCTCTCTCTCTTTCTCTCTGTGCGTGTGTGTATCCATCTAGACATAGATAGAAATATGCATTCTATCTAATAAGTAAAGTTAAATTTTTAGATGGTAAAGTTAAATTTTTAGATGGTGCTATTATAAACCAGAAAAATGAAATGTCATAATATGTGGAAACTTTAGTAAATTATTTTGTCTCATGAATTTAACATTGTTTTGTATTTTATTATTAAACTTCCTTTGCCCTTCCCTCTCTTTTCCTTCCCTTCATCCTTTTATAATACAGCAAAAACAAACAGTGCTGAAGTTAGCCACACTCATGAGCCCTGTGAGGTTCATGAGTGGCCAAGCTTCCTTAAGAGAGTGATCCTTATTTGCATTTCCTGATCACAGGCTGGCCAGGAATGTGGAGGCAAGGGGAAATCCTGGGAGGATGGCTCCAAGGATCCAGCAGTGCAACTCTGGTAGCTGCATTCTCAGTCATATTCCGGATGCTGCATGGCCTTGCAGACATAAATCCCAGCCTGTCTTTGTCAGTGCTAACAGATGGCAACCTCATGGAAAGACTTGTTTTATGGCAAAGATTTAATGATCAGGTGCAGCAGCCACTTTGTATAAATGTGTCAGTAATGGCACTCTCTCATTCCTCACCTCTGAAAAGGAAAAAGAGCTTGGTTTGTTTATTTATTTGTTTTGCATATTTTGGTACAAGGCATCAGCTATTTCATTCTAAATTTTGACGGGTAGCACAATCATACATGGGTCTGTTAAGCAAAAATCAGTCAGTGATCTAGGTAATTAGTATGAGTACTTTAAGACTTTCATATTGGAGCAGTTTTTCATAGAATAGGCCAGAAAATGGAAAGATGGTAATGTTACTAAATGTAAGTTCAGAGAGAGGATATTAGCTGAATTATGTCTGGATGAGCCCAGAAAAAATATGGGAGTTTGAAAAGTCAAATCAATGAAGAAAATGGGCACAAACATATTGTTATTCAGGTATTTAGCCTCAGGCCCACTTAACTCATTTATTTCATTCCTATTAATAAATGAAAACTTCAAAGTAGTAAAGGTAAAATAAACATACTAAGAGAAAATAACAATAACCATGATAATAAAACATACAGTAGGAAGGAATAAAAACTGTTAAAGTAATACCTAATCACTTAAAATGAGTTCAAGATTCCAGGCACACAAGAGTGACACTACAGTAGACCAAGAGAAAATTTGCAGATAGTATCTCATGTTCATGTCAACAGTAAAACTGAAAGACAGGTTTTGCTTCTGTTTTCACTTTTAAAGGGAAAAGTAATCAAAAAATGATCACACTGCATCAAAAGTGAAAGTAAAATTGTTATGTTGACACTTCAGTTCCCAGAAAAATCAAAGCCTACATCCTACTTACAACAATTATTTGATACTCTATTTTCAGAGAACATACTTTACACTGGCATTAATGAATCTGATCTCACATGTAACAACTAAAATGAGGAAGAAAAGGGAAAAATCATTGTACGCGAGCAAAAAGATGTTGAAGTATTTAGTCCAGGAAAGACTGGAGAAGAAAGATAGCTATTTTAAATATTTGAAAGCCTGTCAAACTGTTGATGGTTTAAGCTTCATTTATGTCATTTGAATGGACAGAAGAACCAACAGTAAGTTGAAGTTACAAGTAAATAAGCTTCTGTTCAATAACACAAAGGTAGCCAGCCGTTCAAAGTGAAAATGAAAGAGAGTTGTGTTCAAATGGAAGGTTCATGGTGGAAGGAATCCTTGTATTATATGAGTGATTAAATATGATGACTTCATGGATCTTCATTGTTCCTAAAATTCTATGCCTGGTTTATGACAGAGAGTCATTTTAGGACTTATTCCAAAAGCTGTGTAGGGCTGTTAACCTCTCAGCACTGCTATTCACTCAGGACATTTTATTTCCATATATTCTAAGTAGTAGCCATGTACAGGGAAAAGGTTTAAAATAAAACATCTTTCAGTAATAGAGATGGTGTCATGTAAAACTATTGATTAAGTACTAACATCATTGCGACAGATGGCATAACCCAGTGTCGGACCGTGAAGCTTGGTCAGGGCAAGGCTGTGAATCCACAAATTGGAAACAGGTGGCACAAATTCCCTGGGGACCACGGCATCTGTAAGTAATCAATTGCTGTAAAAGTCCTGGTCAGACACAAATTAGCTTCATTGTTGATGACATTTTTAATAGCAGAAGGACTTCACTGCTTTCTTTAATTAGTATTGCAGTATATAATATAATACATTTAGCTGATCACCTTTGACAACTGTTTGGTTCTCCTTTAATTTGTTAGTCTAAGCTACAATAGACCAGACATTATGTTTCTGCAACACAGAGGATCATAAACACATGATGGAAGGCAGGATGCACTTATTTGTTTCTACTGCTTCAGTGTTTTCTCTGCTTCTTCCATTCATCCATAACCAACTCTCAGGAAGAAATCAAATGCATATGTTCTTGGTTTCCTTTCAAAGGAATTTAAATCCCACAAAACTCAATCCATGGTTTGAACTGAAAATGCTCATTTTGGAAGTATGTCCCTAGCATTCCTGACATTATATTCCAACACTATATTCCTCCTAATGGATGTGGAAGTAGATTTAAGTTTATTCATAGAATTGGTAAGTGAAGATGGATAAATACAAATTGCTAAAATGTCTAAAATTGGCATTTTCCAATACTTAGTTCTTATAGCTCAAAGCTTCTTTGGACATGTGGTAGAAAGTGAGAATTTAGTGGAAAGATCATACTATTAGTTTAGAGAAAAAAAAAAATGAATAGCCTGGAATCTTTAGCCATGTCATGGGGACATTTCTATAGATTGCTGTATGCTATTGGCCACTATTTCACTTAATAGGGTAAGATATTTTTCCTCCTATTTATACTCTGGGTAATTTGTTAGAAATGCATTTGCTTTGTTGAAACAGTTAGTTACTATACTTACAACAATTGATACTCACCATAAAACAAATATAAAGGAAAACAGCAAAATGGTTTAAAATACCCTATTTTGAAAAATAAATAGTATGGGAGGTCAAAAGACAATAGACTGCATGCAGTTCACAGGTTTATTTCCTGGTTTGCTCCATGGTAATATAGAGGACTGTAAGGCAGAAGTAGGTTGCATAAAGTGGCCAGAATATTAGTCTAAATAAAGAAGTACTATTTGAATGTTATTCCTATGGCTGTGTCTTAGGCTGCTTCTGCCTCCCACTTTCTTCTCCACTCCAAGAGAAATTTTATCTATGCATGCTGCATGCGTTACTTCATACTGGGTATTCATCTGTTACCTACAATGTAGAAAGCACTTTGCATTGTTGGCTTTGGCCAAGTCTTTGATTTATATTCGTTCAGTTTATTCAGTGAATGAATGAGTGATTTATTGCTTGAGAGTAAGTTTCTGGTCAAAATTGTCTTCATATCTTTGATACAACTATCTAATCATAGTCATAAGCCTGGCTCTTATTAAAGTTTAGGTACAGTGACATTTTCAGATCAGTTCATTGAAGAAAAATGGAAGCAAGAAAGAGACAGTGGATAACTTTGTGTTATTTGAAACTGTAATATGAACTTAAGCTTTCAGTGTATTATGAAAGCTCAGCCCGATTTCTTCACATGACCCTTTGGATTTCCTAGCCATGGCGAACTGGAGAACATTGAGTGACCTCCCTTTCAGCCAATGAAGATATTACCTTGACTTGTTGCCTCTATTTAAAAGACAGTTGTGGCATTTTCCCTTTGGTTACATTATGCAAACATAAGTGCATATTTTAGACCCTTTGGATTATGAGATTTTCAACCCTCTGAGATGGCTTTACAGCCCCCTAGGAGTCAGCCATAGTTCAGGAAGGGATTTCAGGGGGATAAGATACAAAATCCAGGTGCCTTCATTGGCTCAAGAACTAGAGCAATGAAAAAGTGATAAGGAACAAGCCTGGTATCCCACTGTTGTCCTGAAGAAGTTCCCAGGAACCTAGACTAAATATGTAAGCATTACCTACAATAGCAGTCTCACTGTGAGTTTCACAGCAACAAAACATAAGAATTTGTCAGAAGTTCTCTTGGACCTAAAAAATACAACATCCCTTGGCTATGTGGGATTAAACCATGAATCTCTTCCCAGCATTTTCAAGTTCTCTACTGTTCCTTTCTTAGTAAAATTTTTTATTTTATATATGATTTTTTAAAACTATCTGGCTCATTCACAGTGCAACCAATGCATGATTATGTTACAGATTTCAAAGGAGTTGTCGAATTATTCTGATTCATTGTTCCTGTTTGCGTCTGCTGTTTACTTTTAGTTTATTTATTTTTTTCAAAATAGTAGCGAATGAGAGGAATGAATGAGCCCATGTTTTAACACATTAATCATTACATGATTAGTGAAGTTGTTTTAAGGGAAGAAAGGCATTGATTAAAACCAAGTTCTATAGTTAACTGTACAATTGGGTCCCTCACGTGATCTCAGTTCCTTGTTACCATGGAAAAGAGGGAAAGTACCATGAGTTGCTCAACATTTCATCTTTGACTAACAAGGTTATCATGTCTTAAATCAAAGGTAAGGAGGAAATAGAAGGCAAGAAATGAGGGGTTGCAGTTTCCTAGGCAAGGGAAGCATGTTGTATAGTTTTGTGTATAGGCAGCCTAGATAGCACATGAATCCCATGTGCCTGAAACCCTAGGATGAAGAGAAATGATCAACTGGGAATACTAAGTACATTGGGGCGTTTCTACTTTCAATGTGCTGTTAGAACACTGTGTGTTGTCCGGCACTTCTACTTAGCATGTTTTTTCTATGTATTCTTCTCTTGACAAAACATTTATTAAATTATTTTCGTCTGCTAGGATCATAACAAATTGACTCATCCCATCCACAGAAGGGGAGGAAAAATGATTACATGTGATGTAAATCAGCTTCTGTTAATTGACATGAAAGAGACAATGTTCTTGTGAATATGTAATCAATCCAGGCATCATGACCTGGTGCATATAGAGTGGTGCAGATGGAAGTACAGCGAGATCCAAAGTACAGGGAGAGGTGCAAGCGGGCCTCAAGGAAAGAAGGTTTTAAGATTACTTGGAGTGTAGGGGATCAGTAATTTTAGATACAAGGTTTGAATGATGGATTGGGACACCAGTAAGAATGGCCATGAGTATCAAGACTAGTAGTCTCAATCTTTATCCCATGGACAACTCAGAACGGTGGAAGTATTTGAACCGATGTCTTAATACAATCAAGACGTATCTGGCAACAAGTGTGACTAGATTAAGGAAAGAGTAGATATTAATGTCCATTAAGACAAAGAAAAGATAGAACAAAGGCCTGAAGTTTTATTTAATGTTACAGTAAAAAAAGAAGTGGCATTTAATTGATCAATTAAAGAACTTGCACTAAGTTGGCATCAGTGAAACAGATCCTTTTAAAACATCACTACTCCCTATCCATATGCAGTGAGTAATCAAATCAGTGTTTTTTGCAAAAGGGAAAATTATTAGGTAAGATTTTATTAACTTTGTATTATGGGGCAGTGCAAGAACTTCTTTAATCCATAGTTGAAATTTTAGATTTCTAAAAAAGAATCCTTAAATAAGTTTGGAGTCATGAATTTTGAATTCTATTTTATTTTACTTAGTATGCTGTACCTATGGCTAATTTCTAAATTTTTGTGAAAATTTTGTTATCTGTGATTGATGGAGCTATTTTGACTGTCTAACATCTGTCAAAGACCTGAGAATACATGCAATCCTTTCTTTCCAGAGAGATTTAGGGTCATTATTCTTGTCTTATTCCTGATAAAACAGTTATTTTATTGTCTTCATTATTGTTTAGGGAGTTGATAGGAAAAGAAGGATAGTTTTTCCATGAATATTTTAGTCCCTCAATTTCTAAGTAGAAAATTATAATTTCTGTTATAACCCAAAATTAGTAAGCCCAAATACATGACAGAATTCTTTTGGTAGATGTTATGCAGTCAGTGGTGTGGGTTTCAGATTTGCCTTTAGAGAAACGGCAGTTGCACTAGTACATAAAAAGAGTTATAATAATGGACTTTTCCCTGTGATGATGAATCACCAGTCTGAGAGGAAGTGGTTAGAGAATGGTGGCCCACCAGCCAGAAAAACCCAAGAACAACCATTAATAAGCACTCTTTGGTGGAAACCCTATCATTATGGTGGCTGAGCTCCCTGGGAGAGCGCCATTCTGCCTCCATCTGATATTCACAATAGTCAGTAAGAGAATGAATGAAAGAGCATAACAAACTCCAGAACAGACTGGAGAAATCTTTGCAGTATAAGAATAATTGAAATTAGGACACTTCATTTTTCAAGGGAGTGCTATAGGTAAAATTATAATCATTATAGTTACTTTGATTAATTTGTAAAACATAAAACTTAGGACTTTTTAAATATAACATATTATATAGCTCCTATGGTTAACTTGTAAAACATAAAACTTGGGACATTTTGTGTACACTATGTTTCAGTGCCAAAGTTTTTTAATATTTGTTTTTGATATCTTAAAACAGAAGGAAGCAAGATTGACAGAGACCGTCATTAATTGAGCTACTGAAGACATTTTTGAAAACAGTTCCAAATGTCTAGGTTTTGGGACCATTCCTTTAAGCAGCATTTCATGTGTCACATTTCAGGAAGTAGGATAAGTGGCCAGTTTCACATGCAGTTCCACAATCTTCCATAAAATCAACTTACTGGTAGATCCTCATTGCACCATGAGATGTAAATTGTTAGTTCCTAACCAGCTTGTGGTTTATGTGGCTGAGTGAAGGCCGTCAGCCAGTCTGTGGCTGAAATGTTGGTGAAGAGGCAACATGAACATGGGGATATGAAGTCTCTGAAAGGACATGCTAGACATGCTGATGACTGGTCCCTTCTTGCCACTGGAAAAGAAAGAAAAAACTAAATTGTCTCAGGAAGTGAAGTCACAGGTTAGCCTACATGCAGTGAAAAAAGTTTCCCAAAAGAATGTAGGACAAAAACACAGTAGCATATAATTAGGGGATTTAATTTCCCCATCTTATGCTTTTCTCACAGTTAGCTGTAAATGTCATACAGTGTCGCTTAGCAACTTGTAAACTTCACGGGGACAGAGACCAGGT